TCTAAACCCCAGTACGTTGGTACTTGTGGTGTACAGTTCTCTAAACAACCAAGCGTTATATTATTTGTGACCGTTTGCGGGCCAAGGACCAATACTGAACAACCCAACAAACTAGTAAATACATCACACCTAGGATATGTCAAGTCATGCTAACAGGGATCAGTAAGCATTGCAAGTTAGCTGTGCCCTGTGGAGGCCTGAGACGCACGGTTGACATTCAATAGATGGGGCCCAGGATATTATGATTATAAAATGTAGTAATGAAGGTCTTCAAATGCTCACTAAGCCTGAAGCTTTTATGGGCGCTGGAATTCTTGGGCGTGTCTACTACCTAGAACCCCAGAAAATGAATGGCACGTGACTAACAAATTAAGTGTTGGAATTCAAGAACATGGTCTCCAACGAGTTGCATGCCCTCATTCTCTGGTGGCGACAATTAGCCGGGTGACTCATCCTCGCTCTACAGAGGTTGAGGTCTGCGTGATTCAAACCAGTGTGCCGATTGGGCGGCTGTCCCACTTTCACACTTTCCACCAGCTCGTTGGGGCCAAACTTGAATGTTCTGTGTGGGGAGACATGTCTAGTTAGGAGACATTCCTGAAGACCTGCCTAACACTGTTCCCTATCCTGAGACACTTCATATGCTTTATTCCAGTGTATCCATGACGATATACTGTAAATGCTGACACTTGCCTGTTTAGGTTCCTGAATCAGCTGTGTGGTGGATGTACTGCTATTAGTCTCCACAAAACCAATCAGGATTACACAGTGGTGATAAGGAACTAAGCACATTTACTCAAGTACTGTACCTAAGTACCATTTTGAGGTACTTGTACTTTAGAGTAATTCAATGCTTTGATACTTTGTACTTCTACTCCACTACAAATCAGAGGTACATATTGTACTTTTACTCAACTACATTTTTTAATACCTTTAGTTAATTTACAGATTTGGATGAATGATGTGAAATATAATCAAGTGTTAAATCAGACTTTAGTTCCACCTGGAGTAAATCCACAAGCTACCCTGCAGTATACAAAGTCATTCAAACTAGCTGCACCTTTACCAGCTTTGAGAACACTTTCATGATCAATCATTATAAAACATATCATATATATTATTCTGAAATGGACCAATCTGCACTTTTACTTTTGGTAATTTAAGTATATGTTGATGCTAATACTTGTATACTTTTACTTGAGTAACATTTTTGAATGCAGGACTTTTACTGTTAACAGAGTATTTCTCCATTCTGGTACTTCTACTTTTACTTAAGTACAAGATATGAGTACTTCTCCCACCTCTTGGATTACATAGGGTAGTGACCATGTGTGTAACTTACCCTGCGTCAACTGCCTGAGGCTTTGGACCGTATGAATACTGCTGTATGTCAGTGTGCGTTTTTAGAATGAGACGGGTTGTTTTTACACCAATGCATTTCTCTCCTGTACAGTTGCTAGAGTTGACACATGAACACATTAGACCTAAACCGTGTCTGTTTGAAGCTCTGACTAAGCCTGGAGCCAGACAGGTGCCTAACTGTGGGACTAAGAAAAGTAGAAGGCGCCGACTCGCCCCCCAGGAGAGGTGATTTTTCAGACATAGACTCACTTTCAGCATTAAAGCAATAATGACTCCACCAAACCACAGATTACTTGCCAAAAGAGGATGCCAGAACACTTTAAGTGTAAGCAAAAGTCATTAACAGCATTTTAAACCTAAGGGAGCTTGCTTTAATTAGCAGCAACTCTGTTATACAATCATTTATGTTCACATGGCTCAGTGGCCGTCAGGGTTGTTGCGTTTGTGTTGTGGGAGCCCAATAGCTTTACTTATCCAAATGCGTTTAGTGCAGTCCAATTATTTTTGCTGCTCTGTGTGAGCTGAGGACAGCTCCAAGTTTGATGGAGTGAGATTTTAGTGTCAGAGCTGACTCATGGCCACCCAACATGCAGCTCCCGCTACAGTTGCTGTTGGCTTGCTAGTGACGATGTAAATGAGGTTGTTTACCATGTGGCCGCAAAATATGTGAGAGTGCAGAGGAGAGGGGCCATGGGAGGGGCTCAGCTGTGTACTGAATGTTTGTTTATGGGGAAGATGTGTAGGGGTGAGAGAGTTTCAGTCACCGCCAGGGGTAAGCCTGAAGGGAGATCATGCATACATCATACATGTATCTCTCTCCAAGGTTATTTTTGCATAGTGCATGACACATCAGGGCAGGCTGAAATAATTGTTTGTGAACACTTCTGAATGTTTGCTAAGGACCCCTAATGGTTGCTGTTTTTCACAATCTGAACATGCCAGGGGGCCGCAGATCATTAACAACTGCTTCAGTAGCAAAAGGCATTTTCAGCAATCAGTGATGCTTAAAAAAACGCTACATTTTGATATTTGCTGTAGGGCTGTAAAAATGATATTAAATCGTCCGGCGTACAGTATATATTTTCTTATTACATTTCTATTCAAATATCGGCTAGCTCTATTTAAATGTGCTCTTTATTCTACTTTAAACTGTTATGTTCATTATGGACAGAAGTTGTGATTTATTTGTATTTCACATAAACTATCTTTGAAACATGCTATATCAAGATGCTCTTTTTGATTTTTGTGTTTCCTTTTTTATTTAGAAAATGTCTCTCTTGTTGTATCTAGCCTGGTTTCACTTCCTGTCTGTTTTTTACCGCCTTGATTGTTTGCCCCGCCCTGATCTATCCACCTGTGTGTTCTCACGCTGCTGCACTTGTGTTTTTGCCTGCCCTCTCCATCTGTGGGTGTATGCCGGTTTGTCCCAGTGTTCTCTGTCAGTTTGTAGTTCCTGTAGATGTTTCCCCTGGTGGGGTTCTGCTCCTCAATGTTTTGCACGTTTATTCCTTGCATTATCCCTAGTGTTCCTTGTGGATTTGCTTCCCCGTTTGTCTTCTGCCAATCTGGGCTGTCCCTAGTTTCTTTTTTTTGCTGTTGTATTAATAAACCTCCTTGCTTAGTTTTGTGTTTTTCCTGGTTCTGTTCCAGCTTTCATTTCAATACAGCTCGCCTTTAATTATGTATACCTGCCTCCTTCTTTGTACTCTGTTTGGGTCCTGCTCTACTCACCTGCACATTGCCACAGATGTATATCTTTATCAAGATAAAAAATGACCAAATTGGGATGGATGTAAGGTTTTTGCCATTTCGCCCATCACTATTTTGTCATGGCTTGAAAACTGAAAATGAATCCCACACCTGATATTTATGTGCTACTAACAATGTGCACAAATCTAAGTAAATTAATTCAGTTTTGTTATCTTCCCCGCCTTTTTTTATTGCCAAAAGGCCAGGAGGGACAAATAAGTGGGATTCAACTCTCCTTTTTTTAAGAGTAATTGTTATAACTTCACTTAAAGTGGACCTATCATGCTATATTTAAATGATATATTGTAGGGCCATACCAATATAAGGTATATTTATACGTTTCTGTTTTCAAAATACCAAACAGATCATGCCATGCCTCATTTTGCTCTATTTGCTGTTCTCCAGCACTGTTTTTGCAGGGGGCTGATTCTGTGAGCTGCAGCTGACCACGCCCCCCTGCAGGAGAGGGGAGTCGCTCTGATCAAGTCAGAAGAGGGGGAGAAAAAGAGATCTCCGTCCTCCGTGTTTTATTATATTATTATAGGCCTATAGAGTCGTTATTCATTTGTTTTAAAGCTCAATAAATAACAAAGAAGACCTTTGACCGGCACTTTTCTAATTTTGTCCAGAAGATTTAAACTTTAACGGACATCTTGACCGGCGAAAGAAACTGAAACTGAAACTCTGCCGCACGGTCCCCTCGTTCCTTGGAAGAGGCGGAGAGGTGGGTGTTTGTCATCTGCTGGTGGACTAACCGGAGAGAATTACAGTGCTTGCCTCGACGGGGAGGGATTGCATTGAATTAAAGCAGCGGGAGCAAACGCTTGCCTCAGGGAGGGAGAAAAAAAGCCACAGCGGAGAATAAACAGAAGGGTAACCATGGTAACCATGCGCGGGAAGTCTTCTTCGCTGCTTTTGTGGCAGACTACAGCACCACTTACAGGCCTGGCATATGCACTACAGCGTCTCCAGCGCTTTCGAGCAGCAATGGCCGGCCGTGGCCCAACCCCACATTCCCCTGATAGGTGGAGAGTTGGCCCAATAGCCGTAGCGCCACTGTCCTGACGTCAGTAAAGTGTTCAAATCTGGATCAGTTTTTATCAGATCCGTTGCAGCCCCTTTTTTAGAGATTTGGGTATGGAGGAAAATAGAGAGGGTTGTGTTTTCTGACACTTGGTGAGTTCCCTGGAACACCGGGGACACATATTCATGTATAAAAGACGTACAAAAGTGCATTTTGCATGATAGGTCCCCTTTAAAGGTGGGGTAGGTAAGTTTGAGAAACTGGCTCGAGATACACTTTTTGTTATATTCCATGGAATGCTCTTAACATCCCGATAGCAATGAATATCTTAAGTGCTTTGACAAAAAATCCATTAAAACATTTAATCTGTGGAAGCCGTAGAACTGTAAAAAGCACGACCAATCGTTTTAGCCGGCCCGACTAAAATAACTGGATGGCCTACCTGCCTGTCCATCTGTGCACAGACTTATCTCGTGCCCTCATTGGTCATGTGCGCGTTCGTGTGTGTTGGAGGAGGGGCTTTGTAAGGAAGTGGCAGATTTTTTCCGGCTGTGTATTTTCAAATTCTAGCGCAAAACTCAAGCTGGTTTCTCCAAAATGACCTACCCCACCTTTAACATTGCATGCTGCATTTTTGTGATAAAGAGAATTAGCTAACAGCAGCTTCAGTTTGGTTTGGTAATGACGCTTGAATACACACACTAAAGATAAACACTATATGTGTGTATGTTGGTATGAATGAGCGACTCAGGGTCTTTTATAGGTATGTCTGTTGGTTTGTGGGTTTCTCATATTGTTGAATGTGTAGTGAGTCCACTGTCACTGTTTAATGTGTGTGTGAGTGTGTGTCTGTTTCCGCCTTCACCTCTGCTCTGCTGCCGGTTGACTATCCCCCCCAGGGTCCAGCGGCGGTCCAGCCTCTTCAGATGTGCCTTGCGTCTCTTTGTAACTGATGATGATTAAGGAGTAACCAAAAGGAAAATAAGGAAACAAAAGCGTTAGTGTGAGAAGCAAAGATTATCAACAAAAAAGCAGTTGTTAGCAGCATAGCAATAGTTTCTAAGGGACAATGGCACATCAATGGAGTCAACAAATCATCACTTGGAATGGTAAGCTGGGTTTGTAAGTGTTTTAGCTAAGGATATGTTAAAAGTAAAGTTAGCTGCTGGTGGATGATGCAATTGTTTACAATGATCTACTCTAGATATACCAGTCAAAACTCAAAAATGCATGTAGGATTCATTTCGAGGGCTTACTCTTCCTAAGTTATTTAAGATGGATCAGGCTAGCCAATGCGAGTTATACTTTAATGTTACTTATAGATGGATGTGTACTGTGCATGTTTAGTATGTTTTGCATATTTAGAAATGTGATGTATTACTTTTTTAAAGATAAAAAAACAGGCCTTTCCTGTTAAATGTTTGTTTTATGAATGGTCTGCAAATGGTCTGCAAATGGTCTGCAAATGGTCTGCAAATGGTCTGCAAATGCAAATGGTCTGCAAATGCTAAAATCGGATTGGATTGGTGCATCCGTACTTACAAATCACACAAAAGTCAAATGTTTTCTGGTACTCTGTTCCCCCAATAACATCATTATTTTCAGACTATGACATGTTTAAATGGGGTAAAATCCTGCTTACAATTCCCCAGAGTCCTTAGCATCTACAAAGGAATTGCTTTAAGTTATATCGACAGCAAAACCGAGAAAAGCAGCACGATTGTTCTGGTTACTTGACTCCAAAACACCACACATCCATAAATAGGGAAATTCTTTTTAGCACCTGATTAAGATTAAGCATGATGTTAAGTAAGGATCTATTTCTGTGTTCACTGCCAACCTACATCTCATAAAGCCATCTCTTGAATTGATTCCACTAGGAAGTTAGACAAAGATGGTAGTGATATACATTGATAAGGTCTACACATAGTTCCCGCTGCAGTGTGATGAACTTGTGACCTCTTTCACTCCTTATTACTTCAAAGTCTCAGTAATAACATGATGAGTCGTTTTCCTATCTTGTATGAGGCCACATGAAGAACAAACACATTAAATGGATTACAGCACTTGTCTTCCATCTCTCTTGGTACTCTGATTCCTTCTCCATTTCCTGTCCTCTCTTACCCCTCATGTCCTGCCATCTTTCCTCCTGCTCCACAGCTGTCCTCTCTTCCTTTGTGTGCCTATGCTACTTGTAATTTCCTCTCTCCTCTTGATTCCTGTCTGCCTTCCACCCATCCCGCTGAGCACCACCCTACTCCCGCTGACCTCCTAATTGAAATATCAGCTAAAGGAAAGGCACAAAGGGAAATGTTATTTTGAGGTAATTCCAGCGGGGCCGGCTCGCCTGTCGGTTCCTCTCCAGCGAGCCGAGCTGTCAGTGGAATTAGGTTACAGACCACGCAGAGATAATGAGATGTAAGGGACGACAGGAAGCGCGAAGGGGAGATCAGAAATAAGAAGTGACGATGTGTGCAAACACAAAGACACCAGGCCCTAATGGGAAAATGGGGGCCACTGACAGAGGATGGGGGGTGGAGGTGTGTGTGGTTGTGAGCTCAGGCACTCCCCGAATAAATGTGCCTGAGTGCATTGGTTAGCAGAGACAGTATAAAGAACAAATGAGAGTGTGTATCCACAGGCTTAACAGGATGATTCTGCTTTATAATAACCTGGGTGTTATTTGGTAGAATATGCCAAGTTTCCCAACACTAATAAGCAGATTGCCCACACCAAGTACATAGCTTTGATGTGGCGCAATTTAGATCAGCACACACAGTTTTCTTGTCCATCAAGGGATTATTATCCACATTTAGTTTTACTAAGATTTTACTACGACATACTCATGCCTGCGTTTTAAATGATCAGGTTCTAGTGAAAGTGCACGTTTGTGAAATAGTGAGCATGCAAATGGATACATGAGACTTAAATGAACCTTTATTTGTATTGCAGTTTTTTTTTTTTTGTTCAGCATGGGGATTAAACAATATATTTTTTAGATTTAGTCATTTAAGGAAACACAGGGGAGCAGTTGATAAAAAATAGTAATTTATTATAATAATTATTGCTTTAACACTCTGTTTTAAGATCCCAGCTATACAAATAGTAGTCCACCGATTAAAAAGTAAAAAATGTATACCTGGCCACTGCATTACCCAGAATGCAATTGGGCAACTGCTGTTTCCACAAATATAAGTTGTGTAGTAGATACAGCTTATTTAGCTTCAAGCCTACAGCAGAGATGAGCAGACGGCTACAGAGGTCTGCTATAGAGTGGTGCAGTGACAAGTCCTAAAACCCGGAAGTGAGTTAGCATTTTACCACTACGGGTTCCCTCGTCTCAGAGCCAATGGGATTTCTCCATAGGATTTTGGAAAATAGCTCGAAATAAGGTCTGTGGTTGACACAAATTTAAGAGACGGATCACGTTTTGTTCTACGACATTAAATACATCAGCAGTGACCCCACTGGTGATTTCTGAAGAGTTTACGTGTCTGAAAAACGATGGTTGTTAACAAGTGGCTGAATAGGAATACAGAAGTTGTCGAGGCCGTTGTACGTCATTACACCGAACACGTAAACACTCCCGCTAAGTTTGTTTGCCCCTGTTCTGCTTGAAAGCAAGTACCTGCCTCTTGCAAACTGTTAAAACAAAAGCTTCAACTTGTACAATTTTTAATCTGTGTGTTTGAATATCGATCTTAAGTTGGCGTGTACTCGTCTGTAGTTCGTTTATAGCATGACGTTAGCATTTTGCTTCTGGCGATTCGATTTATGATTCGAAAATAATAAAAGTAGGGTAGATGTGGATATTATCCTGCTGAACAAAACGTGCATTTATCTAACAGGTTCGTTTTCCACAGACCTTATTTCGAGCTATTTTCCAAAATCTTATGGAGAAATCCCATTGCTTTTTTGTCGAGGGAACCCATGTGCAGCTTTTTTCCGGTTAAATACGTCATCCCTGCACCACTCTGTTGTTTTTTCTAAGTCAACAACTTCAGTTTTTTAAATTTTTTATTTTTTATTTTGAAGTCCCAAAATGACGCTGACTCAAGTCAGATAGATCAGACGTCACAGCAGTTTTTGCAGTCTTATTCCCAATCAATTTTAAACCGACTTTAATGTGTACAATTGGCACTATTACTTGATGATGAAACTGTTGCATTAATTGAGAATTAACATGTAAATGTTTGCATCAGTAAAAACTAAAGTAAAATTGACAAAAAGACATAAACAAATCTATCTACGGTCATAGGCCCCATAGCGGAATTATGGGGTAGAGAAAATGCTTTTTAACCAGGAGAATAGTTACAGGACATTACACAGACTATAGGCTACATGCACTGCCATTTCCGACAGTGTGCACCTTTTCAGAACTTCATTTATAATAAGAGGTGGGAGCAGATATCTTTAAAGAGGAAATATTATGCAATATTTCAGGTTGATATCTATATTTAGTGGCTCTACTGGGACATGTTTCCATGCTTTAACCAGTTAAGCCCCAAGCCTGTTTTTCAGGTCTCAGGCTCGAAAATGACATTCCCAGAACAGATGACCATATCTTCACTTCTAAAAGGGTTAAATTAATAATCTTTTTTCTCAAAGCAATGATAAACCTGTGAGTTGGATGTAGAAAAGTCAGAATCAATATAGAATTTCAATTCAGATTGAACATAGTAAAAAAATGTAAATGATAGTGTCCGTCCAAAAATAAAACATTACTTGTAGTGAAAACCACCCTTGAATGATGAAAGTAGACTAAAAGCTTTAGGAATCCAAACTATAACATATAATAAGTACCCTGTATCAAGATTGATGCAAAACAAGAACCCACTTCTGGGGTCATTTGGGTGGATTTGCCATATCTCTGGCCCCCCTCGGTCGATTTTGATGATTGACACCTCTTTTGAACCGTGAGAGCCAATAGAATCGAGAGGAAGTTCCTAAATCCATCTAAACATTACCATTGAGGAGTGAGAGTGATGCGCACGCAGTTTGCCCAAAACCGGAAGCTGGGTTGTAGCTCTCATAGCAGCTAATATGAAATCTCAGTTTTTGACAAAAATGGAATGATGGATTATCAGTAATCATTTTAAAGTGACACAGACACATTGGATTAACCTTCAGCAGCGTTTTGATTGTTTTAATGCCATTGAACACAACTTTTGATCAGAAAAACAGCAAAGGTAAGACGTATTTGCCGTTTTGGCTCCGTAAAGCTACGTTGTGAGTTGTCTGGTTTCGCCTTCGCTGCCCTGAGTTTTGGTCGCACAGTGATGATACTTATAGATTCTGGAATCTGTGGAATTTCAGCTTTAATCTGATATCTTGTTTGTGCAGATCCGATAAGTAATCGCGGGCGGTGGCTATGGGGCTTAACAGGTTAAGGTTCAGAAAGCTCTTTATTTTTCTCATACTGCCTGTGCTGCAGCACCTCCTTTCACCCTCTGTCTGAAACCAGAGCCCAGTCTACTCTGATTGGTTAGCTGGCCGGCTCTGTTGTGATTGGTCAACCGATCAGAGATGTGCCACCCCCTTAGCCTTATCACGTACAATGTGTCGAAGCACTGGCCAATAGAAGTGCAAGTGTTACCTAGTGATGTCATTAAGTTATGGAAGTTATGTATCTTTGGGATTTGAGCCTTTGCAGACCATTTACAAGCACTAACATATAACACACTACACGAAAGGGAAAACCCTAAAAAGCATAATAGGGCCTCTAAGGTTTTTAAGGGGCTTTATTAAGGAGAGCCTGTTTCTGCAAAACGTAAAAATAAGGTATCCCACCACTGTTATTTGAGTGTGTTGCCATGTAACTTTTCAAAAAGGGGTTGTCGCCTAAATAATACCAAGAGCATATCTGACCCTAACCCAAGCGGCAAACTCTGGGGCAGAGCCGGGAAGCCCATAAGGAAGTGCCACAAACTGCAGTTCATCTATTGTCCGATAGGGGATGGCTGCAGAAAGGAGCCATTTCCATAGACCCCTATGTTAAAATGCCCAACTTTATAGCAGAAATAAACATGTTTCTACCCCTGGATGCAAAAAAAAATATTCTGGATATAGTTAGATTCCACCTTTATGACAATGGATTGGGGAGTGCATTTTTTTATAACGCACCCCTTTTAGTTATATTAGGTTTTAATTTATTTGCATAAATTAGGGCGTCGTCACTTTGATGGACAGGTCTCTGCGGTGACTGCTGCTTCTAGATCCGTTAGCTCTGTTAGCTCCAGGATGCTACAGTGGCTCAGCTGCGAGGCTGATCCGGGGAACACAACTTGAACTCGGACTAGTTTGTTGTGTTGGTGCCTGGTGGAGTATTCTTCATTTAAATATCGGACGTATCTAATGCCGCCCCGGCTCCGCCTCTTTGCCCTTATTTGGATCAGGCTGGAGCAGGCGTGAGTTAGGCTCTGACGTTACTGTCGAGACGGCAGCGGCCGACTCCGCCTACTAAGGGCTTCTCAGCAACTCTGCAGAAAACTATGGGTGACGTCACGGACACTACGTCCATTTATATATATAGTCTATGCCCTAACCCTAACCCTAAGACATACGTATCATGTGAAAGGATATATGTATTGTTGTGGTCCAATCACAATACTATATTAAATCTAAGTTCATTTGAAAAATGGAAAAACCCCTTGAAACCATAAAAACATCCAGTCATCAGGCAGCCAACACTCAATGTTGTTTCACCTCCAGGGTTGTAAGAGATTCCACTGTTACAGGCCCTGACAACATCCATTAAGTATGTGTGAGTGTGTGTGGGAGTGTGTGTGGGAGTGGGGAGAAAGATCCAAGAGAGGAATGAAAACTGCAAATTACAGCGAGTGTGGCAGCTGTGCAGGAGCTGTCATCCTTCTAGCAGAGTGTGTGTGTTTGTGTGTGTCTTACAGAATATGCACTGATCAAAGAAGCATGGAGGCTTGCATGTCTTAACGATGGATGAAAAATGTGTTGGATAATCAATGTTGCCTGTATATCTTAGCATGCATATGAGCACATTTGTGTATTTGCACTTAATTAACGACAATTGGATCCCCCTTGGTCTAAAAGCCGGAAGGGGCTTATGACACAGTGATATAAAGCTCCATCCCAGCAGTGAGACTGAACACTAGGGTCACAACAAAACAAGCGTCCTCCAAGAGTTGCAGCCTCCCGGGGGATCCGACAGGAATTTTCTGTGGTGCCAAAATATTGCAAACCCTTTTGGCTGCAGTCTGGTACTGTTTCACCATGGGGCTGCAACTGTGGTCTCCAAGGCTCCTAGTGTGTGACTGGAAGTGTGTTTTGAGTCTGTGTCTAGGGCTGACTTCTGTGACGTGTAAGCATAGAAAACAAGCGCACCAAAAACCATTATTGAGAAACCGCATTGCCTGTTACACGCGGATGATTTGGGCAAGAATGACAAAAGTCTTTCTGTGTTTTATGAATCTATCAATGCGTGTGTGTTTGCGCTAACCTTCTCCAGTCCTGGAAGTGCCCAGATCCAAATCGTCTCTGGTTACATTTTGGGAGTCCAGGTATGTGGCTGGCACCCAGCCCTGCTCCTCTGCTGTGCTGACAAACCACCAGCCTGGAGAGAGAGAAAAAAGGGAGAGGGACAAAGAGAGATGAACATATTAGTATTGCTAACAATAAAATTGTGCAGGAATGAGTGCTTAAACCCGGAAATGAGTTAGCATTTTACACTTCGGGTTCACTCGTCTTTCAAAGTCTTTTTTGAATGCCTGAAATAAGAGTTCTGGTTAACACAAGCTGAAGAGATTTTTACGTTTCGTACTACAACATCAAATATGGTAAATACTCATGAATGCAAACTTCCGGATTGGCACACAAACTATTCATCACTAAACTAGTCTTTAATCATGGCATGAAGAATGGCTGTGAACATCGTTCCTAGATGTTTACAACTCATTGCTACTCATCTCTCAAGTTTAGCACAATGTACTGAGAGTAGATGAGCCAGCATTTATATAGCAAATTCAGTGTGTGTATGGGTGGTGAAACTGTACATCTAATCAGGCCCGCCTGAGAGTGCCTCATCTTAAGCGCCACAGTTTTGCCGCTGCGAGGCTCCGGCGCGTGCACCATCCCCCCCCCCCCGTTGACGCTTGCGACACAGAGGGCCTCATCACACAAATTTGCGTGGGGCCACAAGTTGGCCAGGGGCGGCCCTGCATCTAATATTAATGTACAGTACATCTAATACCAGTGGCGTACCATGTCTATCCCAACGGGACCTTCTGCACACACACACACCCCCCGCCGTTATAATGTCCGTCTTTTCATTGAATTGCCGTCTTGAAAAGGGTACTGACAACAATTCCGAAACAACATCATCTTCACCTGTTGCCATTTGAACTTTAAAAACAATCAAACGGCAAAAATGAATTGCTACGTCGCATTCATCTAGATCCTCTGTCTCGAGCCAGTGAACTACCGGGCCTTCTAGAATACCCTGGAACCGAGGGAAACTCTGAAAGAATACGCCCATTGGCTACAAATCAATATATGATTGGTTGATCAAACTGTCAATCCAACCGTACGCTCTCATTCAGTGTAACGGCCAGGGCATTCTATCAAGGATATAGAATACCTTGGTTGAAGGATATGCTACCCAGAGACCCAGAAAAGTATCTGATTGGTTGCATTCAACTACTGAAATGCGTAGTGCATTTTTTTTTTTTTTATTGTTCCACGATAGAGAGATCTGATGTGAGCTCATGATGGCTGGACGTTTCACCTACTTGGAAAGCTCTCATCATTACTAAACCAGACACCGAAGAAAATCCTGGAAAGAGGAAGAAGCTGGAGATCTCCAAGCTCATCATACAGTAGATCAACAGAAGTTAAAGGCTCTTGTTGCATGAAGAAGGTGCTTCATTTTTTCCTATTCCTCAATTTGAAAGTTGTTTTACCTCCGCTGTTTTAGCTAGAACTCCCTTGCATCCCTGAGCTAAGTGTCTTCAAGTCGAACAAAACAAGGTAAAAAAGTCTACAGCGATGAAAATAGCAATTTGAGGTTGTACTTAGGCATTGAGAGAAAGGCTACTATCAGCATGGATCACAATAATAATACTTATTTGGGCTAACCCAAGTTTAAACAATTACCCCAAGGGGAAGATGAATATTCACAACAATGCTATGGTTGTTTATCCAATAATTGTGGGGACATTCAACTCAAAAACAAAAACAGGCCGTCACCCGATGATATTGGACTAGCCGTGACACCGTATCAGACCAGGGGAGGAAAGTAGGGGATCAATCCTTCCTCACTTCCTAACCTCCAACACAAATCTTCCAACTGTGCCCTTATTTTCTCACAACAACATGATCTTGTACCAACTTGTAATGTTTGCCTGTTTGGGTAGAAGCCACCAATAATGCATAGTCTTTTGGCAAAGAACGTGTTAAGGGTAAGGTATTAGCATGTGGAAAACATTGTGAAATGGTGACAGTTCAGTCAATGCGACAAAACTTCTTAGTGACGTAAAAGTGTGGTAAAAGTAAGTACATTTGTAACGAAACTTAAGCTACGGAGGTTGACAAACAAATAAATAATGTTTTGACACAGACGCCAGTCCCCTGGGTATAAATCCTGTGATGTATAGCATTATCCCACTCCTGTGTATCTCAGGATTTGACTTTTTATCATAGGAAGTTGTTCAACAATATTGCACAATAATGTATTCAGGATGGCGCTGCAGCTCCACTAAAGCACTCATGGTCAGATTGTGTATAGATGTGTAATTGACAGGGTTCATACACTTTTTCACCAATGATTTTCAATGACTTTTCCATGACTTCTCCATGACCTTTAGCTAATTTTCCATGACCAAAAAAAATGACTCTTTCTCAGCGGTACCACTGAAAATGGTTTATTTTAACATGGAACAGGAAAATAAGGTCTGCATATGAAACATGTTGTGCCTATCTAAAACAAATCAAATAGGCTTACTAGCTTCTACACGCTAAAGCAACTAAAATCTCTCGCCAGCAAAATACCTCGACAGTTAAATGCCATTTTACGTTTCATTACAATAAGATACAGTCATTTATTATCATTATAGTATTACTATTTCGGCGATTAGATCAAATATAAATTATATTTTATGCAACTTTAGTTACATTTCCATGACTTTTCCAAAACTTTGGGAAAAATATTGTTTTCCATAACTTTTCCAGGGCCTGGAATTAGCATTTTGAATTTCCATGACTTTTCAAGGTTTTTAATGACTGTAAGAACCCTGAATTGAGCTGTAGACGTGACAGAATAAGAGCAATGGGTGGAGAAAGGCAGAAAAGTAGAGCAACAGTGGCAACCATTCCTTCTTTCTTTCTCCAAATGAGTCCAAAGATTAGGTCATCACTGCTCCAATACATTTACAGCCACATGGCTCACTCTCTAATGTGGCTGGGGAAGCCTGGGCGGATTAACCCATCACGCCCTTTTTTTATTACCCGGCAGGAAACCAATCACATAAACACAAATTAAATTAAGTGTGGAAGACCTGTCTGACAATGAGCTGTATTATATGTGTGTTTGTGTTTCAACTGTATACGCAACAACATTATGAGCAAATACATACCCTGGCACCAGGGAAGCTAAGAGTTAATGTGTACAAAGATGGATCATTATTTTTAAATAACCGCATATGCTATAAATGAAAACACATACTAACAAGGATAAAGTGTAAATCACTAAAAACGAAATTGTGAGATCATTTGCATTTATAAATAAACAATTCCTTAACAACATTTTTGATCACTGTTAGAGGCCATAATATTATCAGTATAATCCAGATGGAGTAGTGTGGTTATCAGAAAATAATGCACTTCCGTCTACTTCAGCTTGTATGCGTTAATTTATTATAACTGTGCACCTCTTCTGTATTACTACTGTTTCACATATTTAGAGCTGCTGGCAATGATCACTTTGATTATATCCATTATCGATTTTCTCTATATTACTATATTATTTATAACTATAACTTTGAGAAAATATACTTAACATCTAATTAAACAGATAAACAGAAACACATCTTTGCATTCACAATGTACTTATTTGGGAAACTGGCAATGATTGGTGATACATCTATGTTGATCCCTTCATTTAAAGGTAATCTATAGTTATTTTACAGGAAATCTGAATATATTAAGAAAAGGAGCTAAAACAGTAGCACTAAAGGGATCTGAATGTTCCTCCTAGGAAAGTAGTGATGAAATCAAGTATGCCAGAATATAACAACACCTATAATAACATGCATTCAAATATTATCGGGTGGACAGTGGACACTTAACAGACGGCACAGAGGACCTGCATGCCACTTCGTCCCTCCCTATACACATATAAGCACCGTGAAGCCTGAGCCACCCGGACTCTGACAGCTTATGTGCAGCATGAAAACACCTTCATGCAACACACACACTAAACTAAACTGAAATACTGTCTCCCCTGAACTCTCCCACAGCGGGTCATGTCTAGCGGTCAACACAGGAGTGAATTCAACCTGAGGGCTGATACACATGGGGGTGATGCATAGTAGATGCAGTGTAGCCCCTGTTTGAGCTTCCAGACACTCAGCTTTCTGTGAATGTGCTGTAGACTGCTGCACAGGGGGGTCAGCTTACTTCAGTTTGGATCCGTCAGAAGCAATTAGGGACCCCAATTGGCCTGGTTGGAGGTTGTGGTTTCAAGTCAAATTGTATTTGACACCACTGCGCTAATTAAATCTTACAACATAGCCCAGGTTAAGAAGTCCTGTGTTATACTGGATATTGCCACATTGTAAGGACTTAGGGACTCAGGGTTTTCTTATTGGGGGGTAAAGCCTAGAGAAGCTGGCTTGACTAGTCAATATCAATTATGAACTGTGAATTTCCTTTGTTCATTTGTGAACTGTTGGCTAGTTCAGTGGGGAGTGTGTCTTTTGATTCCTTAAGGTTCTCATTGATGCTGTTTTCCTGCAGTGTGAAAGGTCTGCCTAGCAGTAAGAATAGCTTTCTCCATGCGAAACCCATTAGGGCTTTCATAGGCTGATTCATTGCAACTTCTTAAAAAGCTAAAGAGGAATTGGAGCCACCTGTACGGAGGAGAGGAGTAGCTCCGCACGAACTCTTCATCTCCAAAGCCCACACAGTGGAAAAACTGAAAAATAAATCTGTGGTGATAGAGGATTAGGGTGACTGTTGTCAACAGTGGTGGAACGTATCTTACTTTCAGTAAGAAGAGATTTATACTCCGATATGAGTGTGTGGTTTTAGAATAATCCTCGAGGTGTGGAAGTGAAACATTCTAAATTAAAGGGGCCCTATAATGCCTATTTCAGGTGTCACAATTGTATTTTTGGTGCTTTTTCTGTGACATGTAACATGCTTTAATGTTCAAAAAGGTCTTTATTGTTCTCATACTGTCTGTGCTGCAGCACCTCTTTTCACCTTTTGTCTGAAACCAGAGCTCAGTCTGCTGTCATTGGTACATACATAAGACACATAATAGGGACCCTTCGTCATTCACAAATCAGTAATGATGTGACTTGCGTGGCAAAATCACAGCTGCAACACTGTCCTCAA